ATTATAGAGTGAAAATTTCAATAGTTACTATGTTTTATTATAAAAATTATCACGTGTTGCATTATTTATGATTGCCAGTGTAGCAATAGCAGTAATTATAAATTGAAAAAATTATGTGTAAATTTAAACCAGAAGCGAAGCGACGGGTATTAAAAATATAGGACAGCAAAGCCTATAACATCTTTATCTCGACAGCTAATAGTCAGCGGCTTGCTCGACTCTATTAATTATCGGTTTTTATTGTTTTTATTCAAATAAATATGCAAGTAGGTTAAATAAATGTCCACCAATAGCTTACATAGCTATAATTGGCTCGTAAATCATGGGACCGAAGGTCCTCTTGATGCTTCGTCCGAGTTGTACGTACGCACAAATCTATTAAACGCCCCTATGCAAATGATGCACATAACAAAACTAGATTTATCTTAAACGAAATGTTTACACGTACGCACATAGGATGGATCTGTATTCTGATAGTATACATGTTCAAATAATATTATTCTTGGGCTTCAGAGAGTAGTCTTAGATATAAACTTTGAAGATTGGCAGATACATCTCAATCTTTTGTAAGAGCTTCACAATACGTACGTACATTATATACGTTAAAGATTACAAAAAAAAACTAAATTATGCAAAAATTTATTTTTATACGCTAATTGAACCCTCATCGTACGAATAGCTCTAAATGCGTAATTATAATCGATACGATGAGAACATTGAACTAGAACCAGCATTATTTCCACCATAATTTGAACCAAAGTAAGGTGCCACAGAGCTTAAAGACGGTAACGTTGGCTGCCCAGGGGGAGGAAGAAGCGTTGAAGGAAGATCAATGGCATTATTAATTATTGAATTAGAGAGTGAAGAAGTCGTGTTGCGACCTATTACTGGTGGCAGCACGGACTTATTTGGCGCTATTGTGCTGATAGTGGGTGCTACCTTATTAGGTATGTCATCTGTAGGTATGTCATTCTCGGGAGAAGTAACCGCTGTATGACCATTGGAGACAACATTAGGGATAGGAGTTGAAACTGCAGAGACCGCAGACGAAGACAAGCTTGGATGATCATCAGTGTCCAATTGAACAGATGAGAAGTTATCCGTATTGTTCATTCTTACGGCAATTTCATATATACCATTTTGACTATTATGATCAGGATTATCATTATCCGAAGAAATACCTTTGAAAGGTTGATTTTCTTCGGGATCCTGTGGCCTCTTAAAAAATCTGCGAACCCGCTGAGTAATAAAACGGTAATAAATCGTTATAATTTAATAATTGGACTGTAACTAATTATAAAGTAATTCATACTTTAACTGGTTTATAATTAGAATTAAGCTTGTACACAGTTCCGATTCGTAATATACGTTCTTTTTTAACTGCTTTTTGTAGTGCTTGAGAAGCGGATGCACGGAAATTTTTATGTAATGGATATGTACTAATGCAAACATGAAATAAATAATCTAGCAACAATGAACAATTTATGTAAAAATGACCATTGCTATTAAATATTTACTTATTCATCCATTCAAAGATGTTACGAGGAGCACTTCCGGAAGGATCAGCTATGGCAGTTAAAGCTTGTACAATCATTTCTTCATAAGATGGTAAATCAACACCGACAGCTGGCAAGTGAGCACGTGAAGAATCAGTGGCATCGACCACAAAACTCTGAGAAACTGGTGTGGGAATAGGAACCTGCGAATCAGGTGGTTGGAGAGATACAGGATTTGAAACTGACGCCTGTCTATCATCCACCAGGGAAAGGATTTGATTAGATGTTGATGTAATAGTATGAGTATTATTCGCGATCTTTTCTTTTATATCAGCTGGATATAAAGGAAGATCCGGATGTAATTTTTCAGCAATGAGTATAAGATCAATCAAGACTCTCTGTGGTAAAGATGACAGATATGCAACTTTCTAGCCGTATAAACCAGTAATATTAAACAGTTGTTAAATAATAAGATATAGACAAACAAATTACTATAAGATACCTGCTCTTCTGTTAAGCCATTTCCCGAACTACCTCGAAAAATATCGGAGGATACAGATATGGATCCGGATGATATGCTTAAACTATCAACTTTTCTTCGTTTACGGCCTCTAAGCACTTCTTCACACTTTGCACACATCCATTCTGCATCAGGTATTTCAACTACGCGACTTTCAATAGGCGGTTTGTGACACTGTTGATGATAAGGAATATCGCACTTATCACATAATACTATACGATTATTTTTAGGAGAGCGACCATCTCTACAAATGGTACACACGATATCATCGGTAGTATCTTGATCCCCGTTAGTCGATGCCCGTGAAGTATTTATATTCCGTTGACGCTTGTCTATAATATAAAAGGAAATACATGAAAAGGACTTCATAACTACATGCAATAACAATAATAATAAGTACTTGTACTCTTGTTCCTATTTTCATTTGACGATTTTTTGACGTCAGGCGTAAATAATACAGGCTTGTGGACTTTTCGACCGTATTTTGTCTTTGGTAAATCATCAAAATCCGAAGCTGATAATAGAAAACCAATTCATAAACACAATTAAATAATGTATTAATCAATAATTATAGTACAGTAACTTACACACGAAAGGATATTCACTATTATTTTTATCAGGTGTTACAGATGACGACAAATTAATTGATTTATTTTGTGGGCTGGAATCTGTCACTTTATCCGTATTGGCCAAATCATCAGATACTGATTGAGACGAGATGTTACTATCAATGCCTGGATTATTGGGCATATTAGACATATTAGACACTGGGTTTTTGTTTTCATCCGCGTGTTCGGGGAATTCGATCTCTTGCGCCATATCATTCCCTTGCTTAACGAGGCTAGAAGTATCCGGATGAATAACATCTTCAAGCTCGAATTCCCCATCTTCGTCACCCTTTAAAGGGAATAAACCATGCAATAAATTTGAGAATTACAAAAGTGATATTTGTCTATTTTTAAAGTTAAAAACAATACTATATAGTAGAACGTGCTAATAACAAAGATAATCTTGAAATATATCAATCTCGACATTTTCTTTCAGATTGATCAACATTTACCCATTCTTCCTGTTGGTTTTTTTTAACAAAATTGGCATCTTGTTTTGTAGCAGAGTCAGTTGTCAACAAAGAGCTAAGCACGCCATTAGAGGCAGGCACACTTGTGCTCGATTGAGACGACATTAAAAGGAGAGACAAGTCTTAAATTTTCTAGTCGATATTATCAATTTATTTAAAGAGGATAATTTTTCAAAACTGTTCGTTGGTCAAAAATTATGGTTTTACGTGATAATTTTTTTTTCGGGGCTTGGTGACTGTTTTAAAAACCAGCTGAAAACCAGGTTCTCTCGAGCATCAAAAATTCTGCAGAATTCGTGAAATTAAAATCTCATCACGTGACAATATGTGTAAAAATGACGCGAATCGAGTATATTTGACTTTATGTCATTATTAAGTAATTAAATAAATATACGTAAGAAACATAGAGCAAAAGCGTTATAAATAAGGAATTTTAAGTAAACGCAATAACAACGTTCGCTTTTCGTTTGTATTTGCTTTTCAAATGTCACCGACCGTTGGTTTGATGTCCGCAGTAAACAATATCACTTCTTTAGCTGTTGCTCAAGGCACTAATCTCTTGAATGGAGATACAGGTGGATTCACTGGCCTTCCTTCTGGTGGCTTTGATTCATTTATTTCATCAATATCAGTTCGATCACAATGGATCGCATTTTGGGTTTTGTGGATTATTTGGGCTCTTCTTTTGTAAATTAAAGTGTTATATGATACATTTTAGTACATATATTATCCTTTTTGCATTAATAATAATTCTGTAAAATTCAGATTGTTGAATTGGATTCATAAAGAACTAGTTAAACGTGACAGGACCGAAATAAGGTCGTCAACTGGCGAACGCACCGAACGAACCGAAACAGGCACAAATGCCTTTTTAGAAAGATTAGTAAGTTTAACATTATAGTTTTTATTAAAAAATATACAAATCTCAAATTTAAAACTTTCAAGGGCAATGGACCAAAACGCGCATCAAGAATTGCACACGATCTATTGTTAGGCTTTTTATCTGCATTGGTCATGAATACACTTGGTCGTGGATCCGGTACAGCTGTGGAAGCACTTTCATGGATTTATCTCGGCTTATCTATTGTCTGGTTGGGTACAGAATTGGTAACCGAAAATAAACTTGTTCGGTTGTCAATAGGATCTGTATTGTTGGCAATTTTGCTAACGATCTTCATTATTTCATACGCGGCTGGTTGGCGATTTGTTGGCTAAAATGTAAATCATCTACCATTACTCTGCTGAGCCTTTATAGCAAGTTTTGTATAACCATTAAGATGAAATGCATATTTTCTTTGGCATTATCTTTTATAAATTTGAATAAATATATGCTGTATTTGTTTGATAACAATGCTTATCAATTATTCAATTAACGGAAAAGAATTCTCGGCACTATTTTAAATGATGTTTAATAGTCGCATCGAGTTATATTGAATATGATTAGTAGCTATCACTACAGTGAAAACACGCCCTTAGTATGCACTTAGAGAGGGTGTGCATTTATAAAATTAGTATTTCTTCTACTCCACTACAACAGCATCAATTTGAAAATCGGTTACACAATTGGTAAAAAAACGGTTTACAACCAACTTATCGTCTATGTACGAAGTGAACTACCCCAGGATCGCCATGATAATCCAATAGCAAGTTTCGTTTTAATGTAACGTTACACGATCAGGAAGATCAAAACAAAACGTTCGCTTTTCAATCCTTTTGCGCTCTAACAAAAAAATTCTTCAAGTGATTTTACTATTGCTCTTTTAAAACCTAGCCCTATTATAAACGCTAACCCTAACTTAAACGAATTTAAACACTGTCACGTGAAGTGAAAATTTTGACGGCGATACTGGGTAAGATTAGGTTAAGTTTTCTGTCAAGAACCCAGACATTGTAAAGTCCTTGGTTGAAGTACTAAAAATTTTTATTTTATTTTTCTTCAAATCATTATACATTTTTTTTTATATTATAATATTATATTTATATTTCTTTAAAAACTTTAAAACTTTATATTTTATTATTATTATAAAAACAAAAATAAAAGGAGGGTGTGGTGACCTAGTGAAGTGGATAGGTTGTCAACTCTCAAGTGGCAGGTCTAAGGTTCAATTCCCACAGACGATGAATTTTGGAAATTATATCTGTGTTACGGTAACTGTTTCTTGCCAATCGGTTGGGTTTTAGGCATCTGTAATCTTAGGTACACCAAGTCAGGTCCCACCTGACATTTGGAGCTCGGGGCATCTATGCTAAGTGTAACGTTACACGGTACATGTACATAGAGGAATGTAAAACCGGTGTCGTATAAGGCTTCG